GGGAAAGGAGCTATTCTCATCACGAATACTTTGTTTTATAAATGATAACAAATTGTTTATGAACCTGCGAGATGTTATGCTATGCTATATAAATAAGATAATTTATAATAAATGGACACAATCTTACATAGTGATGAGTGAATGCCTTGCCATGGCTCTGATCGTTCAATATGTAAACTACACAATAGTGGTGGGTGAAGACAATAATGTAAACACATACAATACGTGTTGTGCAATTTTCTTATTTCAACATCCTGAATGGAGCTGTAGATGTGCATATACGGAAATGCTCAACACGATTCCAATAGTCCAATACAAGGCTTTGACACAGATTTACCCATGTCCCACATAATACCCCTAGTTTAACCCACGTGCATTTAAAGATCGCTTTTTACTGATTAGGACTAATAATGTTTATGCAACTAACAACAAACATAAAGGTTTACCAACCGAATAAAGGATTTTTAGCAGCTCCGTATGTATATAACATGATATTACAATTATTAACAGTTAGACAACTATGGAATAACATTAAAATAAATAAATAGACTAAGCCCAATGTACACAAAACCATATAAACAACATGTTTGAGGTCCGTTTCCACCCCACGGCTAAAGATAGGTCTAAGTACAGAAGAAGAGGTTTTAATGTAAATTCTTCCAAACGTAAACATGTTTAAGTTTCGCCCTGCATGGTAAAATACAGTAATTCATAGGAATTAGACCTTCTACCATGAGAGGGAAGAACCAATTGTATTCATTGGAAGAACCAACAACTCTAGTAGGCAAAAATAGGTTTGGGGGATTACAGTCTTAATTTGAATGAAAGGATAAGCTTGTTTCAACACTTTGATAGATTTAAATGGAGTTTATATATCTAAAATTCTAAGACAATTGCTGGCAAGGATCCTTGTAGACGAAGGTCTAATATGTCGAGTCTATGTATACGAAGCTGCATAATAGAAGCTAGTTCAGTATTTAATCAACCAAATTTACTCGCTTCTGCTGAATGAAAAGAGGTTTAAATGTAACTGCTGCGAATCGAGAGCGAGAGATATAAAAAGATCAAGTATCTAAGACCTCAGCCGGCGTTATTTCTGTACGTGTAAACATCTGCTACATGTACATTTATTTGACTCAAATTCATTAATTCATACACTCCGAGAGAACTATTCTTTGTTGTATTTCATCTTTTTGACAAAGTGACCAAGAAGTGGACATCTACCATGCAGACCCGGGGAAGCTTCCAAACGCTGTAATTAGTTTTAGTTCCAGTTTAATGAGCGCATCAGTTTATGAATTACACCGCTGAAAACACTATTACTCAAACTCGTAGGGTTTTCACATCGAAAATGTGTAAGCACTGACTATGAATCAGTCAGAATTGTTAATTGGATCCAAACAACTAATGTATATACTATGGTTCATGACAATAAGGTAGTTGGTCCTGGTTCTCAACTTGCTCTACTGAGTTGTTTGTATCTGTAATTGTAGCATAGACTACTATGTTCATTAGATTACAGTATTACATTGCACACTGTACAGTGTACAGTATAAGTATATGCGAAAGTCCAACTAATGTATATACTATGGTTCATGACAATAAGGTAGTTGGTCCTGGTTCTCAACTTGCTCTACTGAGTTGTTTGTATCTGTAATTGTAGCATAGACTACTATGTTCATTAGATTACAGTATACATTGCACACTGTACAGTGTACAGTATATGTATATGCGAAAGTCCAACTAATGTATATACTATGGTTCATGACAATAAGGTAGTTGGTCCTGGTTCTCAACTTGCTCTACTGAGTTGTTTGTATCTGTAATTGTAGCATAGACTATCATTAGATTACAGTATACATTGCACACTGTACAGTGTACAGTATATGTATACGCAGGATGAGGAATGAAACAGTAGGCCTGTATGTTATATTTATACCATCGATGTATACATCGATGATATTGTACAAACACCGTTGTTGTTGTCTCACATGATGTTGTACATACTGTGTAGTGTGTACAGTACACGGTAGACAGTAGCACGACTCCCCCCCCCCTCCACTACAAGTTTGGTTAGTGCCGCGAGCTGGTCTATTTAATTATTTAATTGCCCTCTCTGGTCGGTTATCGCCCACGACCACTGTCAAACTTTCATAATGACAGTGCGGTGATAACTACCACATTGACACCACGAGACGCTGCCAAGGCCTATATACCGCGGGGTGTTAAAATATCTATAAACGTAGATTAATTATAACTTTGGTTGTTAATTTATCAGGCTTGCTGTTTAATTCGACAAAGTGTGACTTGTTTCAAAGTGGTTATACCAAACGAATAAAATTATAAAGTGGGGCAAGGCCCAGGGGTCTGTGATCGCTCCAATTCGGTTCTTACACTATGTTTTATTATTTTATGATCGCTGGATCTGGGATCTACACTGGGACTACTGGGTTTGATGATTTAAAGTTGGTAGCATTCAAGTATTTTCATATCATGGTCATATAGTTTCCAATAAGGTAATTTTAAAGTTTTGAGAACTTTTCTGTGAGCATGCATTGCACACTGGTTTTCTGAATATTAACTTTTGTTCAAACTAATTGTTAGATAAGTTATCCCCTATTAGTCAAAACAACTACAATACACCTACAACTACTAGTATACCCTATGCACTATTTGAAATACTCCAATTATAATCTGTAATTAGTTCATAGCATAGTGAAATATTTAATTAGCAAAAACGTAACTTGTCAGATCTTGTAGAACCTGCAGTACACTCGCACTCAGTGATGATTATTTATTTGTGAATGTAAGAATATCCCTCTGGCCCTATATCCTGGTATTTGTGAAGAAAAGACTCGATAGTGCGTCGATAATTTTTTTTTCAATTCATAGCACCCGCTTCTACTAGCAAGCAACTAAAGGTAAGCGAGAAGATATAGCTAGTGTGGATTATTGAACCAATATAATGAGACACAGATTGTCTATAGTAACTATACAACGTACGTGACAACACTTTACACGGGACACACAAGGTTCATATCACGCGACGGAATGTGCTGAGGAACTCGAGTCGGAATGCTCGATAAGAGAGGTAAAAAGTTAGCGAAGATTTCAAAGCCATGTGCAAATAAGTGGTTGGTTATACGCAAAGTTGGTGACATGCCGAGAACTGCCTGCATTGCTGCATTTCCCGCTTGTCTGTCGCCAACTATAGCGTGTTACTAAATAAATTCGCGACCTTTTCGCTCATAAATTATTCATTTCCAGTGTTATATTCGAGTTTCATTATAATTTAGATTTATTACGTTAACATTTACTTAAATAAAAATGTGTATACAAGTAACGATATTAATAGATACAAACAAAATATATAGAACACCAGTTGTATTTTACTGGCTTTTACAGTAAAATATGTAAAAAAACATACAAATGTACAACGTAGTAACATTTACTTGGGGTTTAGCAGGCGACACGCTGAAGTCTAGGTTTCAATTAAAGTAAAATAATAACTGTATAGTCGTGATTTTAAAGAATGAAATAAGTTTGGAACCTACTGAACATGTGGATAAATGTAAACAGAATTAAGAAGCATAACAACGACCAAGTCAGTAAATCTAACATCATTAGACAAATATTTACGAATAATTTTGAAAAAATTGTGAGTTATCGTTAGTAAAAAGTACCTTCGTCAAGCTCAAATTTTGTAACTGTTTACAGCCGTTTCGGCATCACAATGCCATCACCAGACACAAATATTGGCTGAAGTAGCGTCGTTGAAGTTATAACACATAACCACACACAAATATTTACAATACGCATACAATTTACAAAAACGAACAGGCCTGTCGCACAGTCGGTACTGGTTGACATTTCACGTTCCGAGCAAAACTCCAACACCAGTAACAAGCAAAATGACAACTTGTTACTGTAAACTAATTTAAGTTGTACATTCTACAACCTTATATGTTGGGTATATTTATTATCAAAGTATTGACAACTATGGGACAAAAGGATTGCCATTACAACTAGCACACTCACTGAGCACTTCATAATTTTATTGTAAGATTGGTTGGTCCCCTTTTAATCTAGATGGGATGTTTTTGAACATTACCCTAGTATTCAAAAGTCAATTGTATTTCAAGGAATAAACAACAATTGTGGACTTTAATTTGACAAATATCAATCAGAAAATGACTCGTCCATGCATAGAATTATCTATCCAATAAAATATGGCTTCTTACGTTCGATTGTTCAAGCAGGTAGTTCAACAAGGTTAATTGCAAATAAAAGATCTTAAAAGATAAACCACGACCACGACAATACACCATAGTTTTTCTTTTACATTGCTTGAGATTAATAACTGTTACAGTGTTGAACCAAGATACCAAAGAGAGCTAGCCAACAATGCTAACAATAAGACTACAGGTGTGACAGTAAGTAACTGCTACTTGACAACTGGTAGATGGCGGTGTAGTATTGTGTTTTGAAGCTCCAAATATTTACCACCCATTGGTCACCCCAAGACATCCCGATGACAAACGAAGGTCTTCTACAAGATATGGAGGTAGTTGGCATACTGACGCTTGAAGGTAATTCGAACATTAATGTATTTAAATTTGTTTGGCCCCCTAAATTATGACAAACATTTTGCTCTGTGTCTAAAATGCCTGTGGAAACTACAACTTTGGTGGCTGGTCTGTGGAGCGGCGTTGAAATAACGTGAAAGGAGTTCTTATATTATTAGGTGAATGTGTGTTCCAATAATCCTTTAAAAATACCGCTTCTGATAGAAACGATGTGTGGTTACGATTTTGTATAATCACGAACTATTGTATAACTGACTGCATTTTCACTTATGATTTAGAATTGTACAGTTCCCACAGTTTCATACAGTTCTTATAAATAAACGCTAGTTTGAAAATGTGCTAGAATTTTGAATAACATTAACCTTATCTGTATATTACTGAATTATTATAAATTAATTATGACAAAAAACTTACCGTTTTATTTTGACAGTATTATCTCTGCAAATAACCTGGAAAAATAAAATCCAATTAGTAAGAAAACAAACCATGGTTATAAAAGCAACTGTCAAAAATTGGAAACAATATGAAAAAGAGACAACTGCAGATTTTGACAGCTAGATGAAAACCATTTCTAAGAACAGAACAACTTTAGTCACATTAATTTTACCACCTAGAGGGAGTACATGAAGTTTATATAATTTTGTCGCTTCGTTTGGCAGCAGTAACGAAGCCAAGTACTTCATAAAACAACAAAGGGAATTCAAATTAGTTTATTCAAAGTGGAGCTTATTCTTGATTTTTTATATTTCCCAAGACAAAACAAAAATCTCATTGTTAAGAGCTGAAAATTTTCTCCGATGATGGAGTACGATTTTAATACTAGCTAAATACTTGCCTGGTTTCCCATTCAAAAATGTACAACTTTAAAAAAGTTATTTAAAATTAATATTTCTTAAGCAAATGAGTCCTAGTTTTGTTGTCTGTGACTTTCCATCGTTTGGTAAAAGATAACGTCTCCTACTATGTTATTCATATGAGCAAGAGGATGGTTTTTTTTATTAGGGACTCGTGTTTACAATTGGATGGAATTAATAAAATAGGGTATTTGAAAGACATTTTGATAAATAATATTACATATAATACTACTCAGTACACTACTAAATGGTACTTTTTACTAACTAATTAGTGAAATAGAGTTTGAATGGAGAGGTATAGGAAAACTAACCTATTTCGAGAGACCTAGTTATGACACTTGAAAGTTAAAACTAATTAATCAGAGGATTACTTACAGCTCTTTATCACTGTTAAAGATTAAGATACAGATAAATTGATCAAGAGCCTTACTGTGAGTTGCACAACCACGGCGCGACCCCTGGCTATCGAGGTGGGCGTGCCTCAGGGCTCTACAATCGCTCCACTTTTGTTCTTACACTGATCTTAATCTACATGACTTGGCTCAGTCACCTCTCACCAGGCAGCTGACATTTCTCTTGTTTTCTAAATTTGTCGCACTTAGCACAAACATCCAATCATCATAAAACACCGACGAACGGTAAAAAAACCGTATAACGATTCGTTAATTCAGCAGTCGCGATTGTGCAATCATTTAAAATACCAACATAGATTTAGTTACTAAGCTAAGTAACCAGGCTATAATGTTATTCGCAGTCTTTCATTTCATCGTACCCTATTATATGTCATAAAACACGATTGTCAGATTCTCGTGAAAGAAAACGAGTAGTCATGAAACCAAAGTTGAGGGTAGCCCAAGTAATAAAACATGCGTTTATCTAGTACATTGATTGAACTATACGCATACATGTTAATCGATTTGATGTAAATTCACTTTGTATGCAAGACTGCGTGGCTGGCTTTTTCTCGTTTAGAAATACCGCGCTTGATTGTAAATGGCAAAGGATTTTGGAGCATGAATGTACAATAGTTCCACTGACCAACAATATTGCACATGGCTGCCATTATCGTGCTCTTGATGGCAATGTCTTCTGTGGCTCATCTAAAATCTTATGTTATCGTCGACTGTATTGGAAAACTATAAAACGTCGTTACAAGTCAAAATAGGTTTTGTACATTTTGTACAGCAGAGCGATCGAAGTTCTGGTAATCCAGATGTACGACTGTTACGCACAACGTTTTTTGAATAGGTGTATTGATTTTGATATTAAACTGTATTTTAAAGTCTAGCTAACCTTTCAGTGTAGTTTTATCTCATGCATACATTTGAGGATTTATGGACTAGAGGGTGCGCAAGATGTAAAACATTAGAGCACATTTTTTTACGAGGTACGTACATTTGATGCCGTCAGGAGTACTGCCACGATGGATAAAATTAATAATGTTCTTCTTAAAATTATAAATACATGCAAAGCATAAGAAATGCACAATTACTCCGATTTAAGTTTATATCAGATCGCGTTGTTGCTTGTGTGACTTTGCAACGTCACATAAACCGTAAATAATGTCAGTTTTGAACGTATAGTCGTAAAATAGACATAAGTCGTAAGTGAAACTATTTTATGATTTCTCCAGCATCCAAGTGTTTATTCACACAACGATTCAGCTATGCTAGCCCTACAGAGCCTGCGCCCGGCCGCAGGAAAGTAGTTCACCTTCATAGGACTTTTACTTGTATCGTATTTCATTACCCCGCTGCGTGCCGCCTAGTAACTAATGCACGTGCCATATAGTTATGTCTTTGGTTTCTATCATTACACTAAAGTATCCAATGGTTAAACTTAAACATTAATTTGGAGTAAAACATAATTTGTGGATTTTAAGAGTTGTCATTACTGAGACGAATTTAAACAATCTCAATATTTTCAGCGAGGAAGCTATACAATTGTCGTCTGCAATATTGCATTACCTAATTTGTGGTTTTAATTAAAACATAACATACAATGATAGAAGAGAGTTCTGCTTATTTATTCGTATTATTCATAAAATGCTACTAAAATATAATCGTTCAAAACGTTTAACCTGCTTGATTTAGATATTTAGTTATAAACTAAAATTGAGCCGATTTAATACAAAAATCATTGAAAATCATGGGTTAAACCCCCATTTTTAACGTTACGTTTTGACCACATAAATATCTTTATCTCACTATGGTATCTTTCGTTATGGTGAAAGACTCGATTGCTATTTATAGTCAAGCCGTTAAGGAACGGGGCAGCGCCATAAATATGATAGTAAACGTCACATAAATACAAGACCGGGCAACAGAGTGGCTTGCGGTTTGTTTCAAATTACTACACATTATGAGCCACTTAGTACGCATTATGTTTTCATTTATTTCGTTAATGAGGTTTGCTTAAACTAACGCAACGGACCATGTGGACAACGCTGTTAATTAAAAAAGCCAATTAATTGCCCATCCTCTGAGGTTTATGGAATACTAGCTGTAACCCACGGGCTTCAGCACGTTTGACTCCTTAAGTACTGCATTAATAAAACTATTGATTGGTTAAGTTAAGCTGAAATAAACAAAGCAGAATACAGAAATACAAATAAATTATATAAGGTAATAAGCTGAAAGAATAACAAACAAATAAGTACAGATAAGGTATTTTTAACATTAGGTATATGGAAAGTTGCCTTTAGAAAGGAATTACGACCTTAAAAGGCAATTTATGAAATAATGGATGGTTTTATTTGCGCAAGGTTTCTCGTCATGACGAACATTTTAAGTATATAGGGTGTGACTTCAGTTTTCTCAAAAGTTCATAGGTACTTTGGGATTTATATATGGATACTTAAAAAATGAATACCTGCAATAAAATAGTATTATTTAATTTACTAATTTGCCAATGCAATTTATAAATAAAAGTCTTATGTGTAAATGTAGACAACTTTAGCCACATTATGTAGTTAGAGGAAAATCCTAATAAAATGATAATCCACTCTGATGAACGCACGGACATCAATGTAAAAATAGATTGACGAGGGATAAGAGAGGAAAACGAGCAGTAACGAATAAATCAGATATTCAATTATGGCGTGTGTTTGCTGGGCTTATCAGCTATGAGCAGGACCAGCACCATTCATCGACACTACCTCACCACTACCACCACCGTCACCACTGCTGCCTCTGCTGTACCTGGGTGTGTGTTTGCTGGGCTTATCAGCTATGAGCAAGACCAGCACCATTCAACGACACTACCTCACCACTACCACCACCGGCACCACTGCTGCCTCTGCTGTACCTGGGTGTGTGTTTGCTGGGCGTATCAACTATGAGCAGGACCAGCACCATTCATCGACACTACCTCACCACCACTGCCCCTACTGTACCTAGGTGTGTGTTTGCTGGGCTTATCAGCTATGAGCAGGACCAGCACTATTCATCTACACTACCTCACCACTGCCACCACCGTCACCACTGCTGCCCCTGCTGTACCTAGGTGTGTGTTTGCTGGGCTTATCAGCTATGAGCAAGACCAGCACCATTCATCGACACTACCTCACCACTACCACCACCGTCACCACCACTGCCCCTGCTGTACCTGGGTGTGTGTTTGCTGGGCTTATCAGCTATGAGCAGGACCAGCACCATTCATCGACACTACCTCACCACTACCACCACCGTCACCACTGCTGCCCCTGCTGTACCTGGGTGTGTGTTTGCTGGGCGTATCAGCTATGAGCAGGACCAGCACCATTCATCGACACTACCTCACCACTGCCACCACCGTCACCACTGCTGCCCCTGCTGTACCTAGGTGTGTGTTTGCTGGGCTTATCAGCTATGAGCAAGACCAGCACCATTCATCGACACTACCTCACCACTGCCACCACCGTCACCACTGCTGCCCCTGCTGTACCTGGGTGTGTGTTTGCTGGGCTTATCAGCTATGAGCAGGACCAGCACCATTCATCGACACTACCTCACCACTACCACCACCGTCACCACTGCTGCCCCTGCTGTACCTGGGTGTGTGTTTGCTGGGCTTATCAGCTATGAGCAGAACCAGCACCATTCATCGACACTACCTCACCACTACCACCACCGTCACCACCACTGCCCCTGCTGTACCTGGGTGTGTGTTTGCTGGGCTTATCAGCTATGAGCAGGACCAGCACCATTCATCGACACTACCTCACCACTACCACCACCGTCACCACCACTGCCCCTGCTGTACCTGGGTGTGTGTTTGCTGGGCGTATCAGCTATGAGCAGGACCAGCACCATTCATCGACACTACCTCACCACTACCACCACCGTCACCCCCACTGCCCCTGCTGTACCTGGGTGTGTGTTTGCTGGGCTTATCAGCTATGAGCAGGACCAGCACCATTCATCGACACTACCTCACCACTACCACCACCGTCACCACCACTGCCCCTGCTGTACCTGGGTGTGTGTTTGCTGGGCGTATCAGCTATGAGCAGGACCAGCACCATTCATCGACACTACCTCACCACTACCACCACCGTCACCACTGCTGCCCCTGCTGTACCTGGGTGTGTGTTTGCTGGGCTTATCAGCTATGAG